AAATGTACTGCAGTTAGTATTTCTGGATAATCCGCCCTCAGCCAAAGTACTGTGAGCAAAGAACTCAGTAGCTAGAAAGTAGGAGTCTCTTGATCACCAGATGTATCATTGTCCATTAGCGGGCAATTGGGGAACATGCCATCCCTCCATCCAGGGAAGATGCTGAAGGGAAGTTGGCTTTGCAGGGATGAAATGCCGTATTTCCAGGTGAAAGAGCTTGAATTTCTCGTCCCTTGGAGGATCTAGTAGCTGCCATTTGTGGGACCCTCTCAGTACAAGTACTTTTCAACCAAGCAGTGGCAACACCCAGGGGCTGCGATGGGGTGGAACTGGCTTCTGATGGGCTGCCTCAGTGCAGCGGCATTAGCCTACACAGCTGCAGTCGCAACTGCCCCATCCCCACCAGATGCCATCTTCCAATGACATGCCAGCGTTACCCCTGCAGGGGATATATTCCACCAAACGGCTCCTCCCATTGGCGCTCTCCAGCAACTGCTATTCATTGGGGCCTTCATTGGCCAGTATGGTGGCCAAAGGGCCCATTCTACAGAAGACAGCCCCCTGCTTAGAAGGTGGTCTTCCTTCGAAAGCTTGCTTTTTCCAAATCTGGTTCAAAGCTAAAGAGTCATAAGAAGGGGCAGCATAGGGGCTGTGGTCGAAAGCCCCATGCCATGATTCTCTCTCTTGAAGACATTTCTGTGGCAGCTCATTTCATATTTATGCAGACTCTATGCAAAACAGAGTCTGTTGTGTCTGTCCTGCACTTTGCTTCTCCTGCCCCTTGCTCATCCTTGGAGCAGAATACCTCTACGGGCTTCTTGTGCCGACCCTGTCCATGCATTCGGGACCCATAGCATTTTTTTTTTTTTTTTGCAAGGAACCAGACTGAATGCTTGGCATGTTTCTTGCTTTTGCCAGTTTATGAGCACAGGTCGTCCTGTGCTGCCACTGCAAGTCCAGAGGGATGGAGCTGTCAACTGGTTGGCTCGGTGGCATTGGGAAGTCTGCACAGTCCTTGGGTCAGTGTGGGATCGAATGCCACAAATGGAACTTGGTTTCTCAGCAGGCCATCTGTGGGCTGTTGTTGAGTTGGACTTCCTCTGGCATCCCCTCTGCTTGACTGACTCATAAAGCTCTCAGTCCATGGGTGAGATGAGAGCCTGGGTAGAGCCTCTTTCTAAATCAGCTTGGCACGCGTTTGTTTTCCATAATGGATACCAGTCAGTCTCGGTCCTTTGCCATATGCTTAGCTCTGGAGACAAGATGCTGTTGGGTATTGCAGAAATAATTTGATGGAGGAATTAAGTGGACCTTGAAATTAGAACTGGACTGTTGGAAAAGGCAGGGAAGGCATAATGCATTGGCAGTGGAAATGGCGGTTCCTGGGGATCACATTGCTGCTAGCACACTCCGTAGCAGCACCACAGTGCAAGAAAACAATGTACTGGAAAATTCAGATGGTGTTGATTAGCTTCACAGTGAGATGTAATGAGTTATGGGGTGGGCAGGTGGCAGAAGAGAGAAAGAGCATCTCCAGTTCCCTAAGTAAATCTATGCTGCTGAAAACACAAATGCCAGAGAAATGCTAGAGGCAAGATGGCGATGGAAGAATATATGGATTTGATGCAATGGACACAAAATTTTCTGTGAAGGAGTCCAGGTGTTGGTATATTGTTCATATGCATGTCCCACCTTTCTCCCACTGTGGAGCGCAAGGTGGCCGCAGGCCATTCCTGGGGTGGTCGCCCCTCCAGGCTCAGGCCAGCCCCAGGCTTGCTTAGCTCCAGCGTAGTTGGATTGGTTGGACTAAGGAAGCCGTAGCCATGACTTCCCAGGAGGGCTGACAAGGAGAGGACCTTCTAGAGGAGAGGACCTTCATTCATGGGGTGCCATAAATCGGAGGTTATGATGACACTTGACGAAGGCACACAACCACAATGATCGAGGAAGACCACAACTCCATGCAGCACATGCTTTGCAGATTAGCCCCCTCACATCTCTGGGTGAGGCTGCTGGTGACCCCCTCTGAGACCCTTGCTGCCATGCTGGTCCATGTAGACAATGAAGGGCTCGAGTGGCGTGTGCTGCTTTTCCATATAACGCAGTTTCTCTGCTCTTTTGGATGTCAGCTTGCACAGCCTGTCTGCGCCCCAACCCTATTGCTGTGGCAATAGGCACACCTCTGTCCCACTTGTTGCACCCCTACTTGGGCTTCTTGCTGGTCTTGGTGCCAAGCCACCAGGTCCACCTCTGAAGGAGAGTGTCGGTTCCCATTGGAGAAATGTCCCGTTCCAGCATCCCTCCCACGGTCCGTAACTCCCCGTAGTTCCCATGGTAAGTCTGATCTGTATCCCCACCTGCCCTTGGGTTCATTTCTTCTGCCTCCCCCAGTTGACACCCAGGACTTTGAGCTGCAGCTCATGGGCACACAGTCTCCCAAGCAGTTTCATCCTCCAAGTCTGAATCTTGAAAAATAGCACAGTTAGCCTCCCATGAGCAAGGCGAGGATTTCACAGTATGTGCATGCATGACAGGGCCTTCTCTGTGGTGACCTCACACTTATGGAATATCCCCTCCCCTGGAATTAACATGAATCTTGGAACATTAGAGTTGGAAGGGGCCAGGAAGGCCATCCAGTCCACCCTCCTGCTGTTGCAGGACACCAGGTCACACCATCCCACTCAGGTGGCCATCCAGTTTCTTTTGAATGCCCCCAGTGTGGGAGAGCCTCCCACCTCTCCAGGCAGCTGGTTCCATTGTTGTATTGCTCTGACAGTGAGGAAGCTTCTCCTGATGTCCAGCCTGAATCTGGGTTTTTGCAACTTGCATTTATAAAGGTCATTGAAGACAATTCTGAAGATACTTCCACTTTTCCCCAATTCTGGTCTCTATTTGAGTAATATATTACTTTAAAAATTCTAACTTTTGCTGACTTAGGCTGTAACCGTAGATCTACTTACCTGAGAGTAAGCCTCATTGAACATGATGGGGTTGACTCCTGAGTAGAAGCACCGAGCATTGCACTGTTAGAGACTGAATGGCTGTATTTTGATGGGCACCATATATGTATTTTCAAATTGACTCGAGAGAGCAACTTGCCCCGAAAGGTGGGCTGGGAATTCCTTGAATGAACTTCGAGCCTTTCAAATTTTGGTTAAGCTAAAATGACAAAGAGGGATGTCTGGCAGCATCCTTAAAAACAGCAAGCTTGTAATACAAATCTCCAACTGTATACAGCAGCTTTGACGGACGTAGGGGTAGTTGAATTCTGAGCAGGAATTGCTGAGGACTGGGATGCATGGTCACTGGCAAAGAGTGTATTCAGTGCCTTCCAACAGTGACCCATGCCCTGGTAACTTCCCAACTGGACTACTGCAGTGTGCTCTACGTGGGGCTGCCCTTGAAGATGGTCCAGATACTTCAGTTGGTTCAGAACAGAGCTGCCAGGAGGTTAACGGGGACCGGTAGGTGCTCACATATAACGCTGGTCCTCTACTTTCTACACTGGCTCTCCTATTAGCTACACAACAACAACAACAACTTAGGATCGATGACCAGCTTGTCCTTAATAAGCAAATTACAAAACACCATAAGTTAAAATATGCTATTACCAGACAAAATAACAATGAACCAATGATATCAAACTGTTTAACGTTACCTGTTATGACTTCTAATTAAACTTTAAAACAGTGCACACAATATCTTGCAAGTCTTGCAGGCAGCTGCAAAAAACCTAGGCCAGCAGCTAGGACTATTGCAATGCGCTCTGTGTGGGGATGCTTCAATTGGTCCAGGATGGAGCTGCCAGGTTATTAACGGGGACCGGCAGGTGCTCCCGTATCACAGTGGTCCTCTACCATCTGCACTGGCTGCCAATTGAAGCCCAGGCCCAATTTTAAGGTGCTGGTGATGAACTTATAAAGCCCTAAATGTCTGAGGTCCATTCTCCTTCTCCCCTATGTGCTTCCTGCCCCTTAAGATCAGAGGCAGAGGTCCTTCTCCGGGAGCCCTACTTGAAGAAAATTAGGGTATGTACCCGGAGAAGGGCCTTTTCGGTGGTGGCGCCCCAACTGTGGAACACACTCCGCAGGGAGGTTCGTCTGGTGCTTACGCTTTATTCTTCTTGGCAGCAGGCAAACCTTTTTCTTTCCACATTATTTTAATATTAATTGGTTTTATGGTGGTTTTATTTATTGGAAATCAGATGCTGTATTCTATTTCAGCTTATTTTGGTTTGCTTTTATTGTAAAACCATCCCAAGACACTTGTAGTGGATGGTATATAAAAGCTTTTAATACATAAATAAAATATCCGCCATCTAATAGAGCTTTTCCTTTCTTGGCTCACGAAATCCTATCTGATGATGGTGTTCCACCATCTTTGGAGAATGCACAAGCTCATGCAACAGATACACTTGTAAGACTTTAGGGTACAGAACAAAGCATATCCAGACAGGAAAACATTCCACAATTCTTAGCAAACTCTGGAAATGTTAGAACATCTTGATTGCTGGCTCCTATGGGCATGGAATGCCCTCTTTGTGGTGGGGCATCTTCATCTCTCCAGAACTTGGTTGCTCTTCAAATCAGGTATAATTAATTCAGTATGTGCTGTGCCCCAACTTTGGAATCAGTTCCTCCAAGAGGTTCACCTGCTACCTTCTCTCTTAACTCTATTCTGCATTAGCCAAACAAACTTTTTATTTGCCCAATATTTTGATATTTTTTGAAAATTTTCTATATGATATTTATTGTATTTTAGTGCTTCTTTGCCTCTGGATTAATCTGAATTGTGCCTGCCATGGGCTCTTTATTGTAGTGTTTTTGCTGTGTTTTATTCCTGTTATTTTATTGTTATATTATGTATGCTAGATTTAGACTATTGTATATGGTGTTTTGTGAACTGTCCAAAGAACCATTCTGGCTAAAGGGTGGTATAGAAATTCAGTAACTAAATAAATACATCTATCTTTTTAACCAATACATTGTTTTCCATTGCAGTGCGACAGCGAGAGTGATCTGGAAGAAAAGGTAAAGACGGTCTTTCATTTCTGTTCTTTTCCTAATCGTTCTGAAATGTTGCCGGGTCTATTCACTCATTTATCTTTTGCTAATGAGGAACACACTACAATTAGCTTCTAGCTAGCAGAAGGTGTTGGATATGCTCAGGTCAACTTGTGAAATGTTCCATACAGAGGTCAAAGTGCAGAGACAGCTCGCTCATCTTTTCAAACCCCCGTAGATCCTAGAACCCCTTACCACAAGGAATTTGAATTTGGGACTTGGGTGTATTCTGTATGTAATCAAAATGAAATTATGGAATTTGGAGGAAATACGATGGGGTTCTCATGGAAGTATCACATAAGCTCAGCATTAAATAGACTCCTAAGCTAACATCTTGCCTTTAGAAACCCGAAGAACTTTAATTGCTGTTGGAGATAGCGTTAAGCAACCTTTTACAGTTCTTTGTTGCATTTTGATGTTTCAAAGTGGGACTGAGAAGGTCGTCTTTCTCTCTCACAGTATTAAGTCTTTCTGTGTATCTACTACATATTGGCTTTTCAAACTAATTCACATTCTACTCCATCTTGGGTATTTTGGTTGTATACAAAATGAATAATGAATAATATGAAATTATCTCATCACAATTGCATTTGCTTGGTTAAACATGGGTTGAGCTGGGCCCATTTGTTATGAATATGAATTGTGTTCTACTCCACACAAAAAAAGCAAAGCAAAAATTATGGTGTTGCGACCAAAGAAGCTGTAATTGATTAAATCCATTCTCTTCTGCCTGTTGGGTTGTTTCCTATTCTTTTTTTTTTGGGGGGGGGGGGAACAAGTTCTCACATAACTTCCATTAAAATATGTGTTGGTATACTATATCCTTTAATAAAAGTTTCTTCCTTCCTTGGAATGGGAAGTTAATATCTTTTTAGTATATTCTCTGTTTAGAACCAGAGTTCCTTTACTTATATGTAAGAGTTTGTGGTTCACCATCTCAGGATCTAGAATGTTGGGTCATTGGTATGAGATACGGAGATGCTGAGTAGGAAGCACAAAGATATGAATGAGCTCCTTGGGCTTCCACTGTGTCGGAGAGTCTTAGAGTACACCCAAGGTCTTGGCAGGGTGTTCAAAGGCAGAATTGGCAAGGGAATGCTTCATTTGACTGTGATTAGGCTCCTGGTACACTGAGGAGATCAGGGCAGATGCAGTCCTATCTCCTACGTTTCCTCACACCCACCACCATCTGATGCTTAGCATGGCTAGATGATTGAAGAACTTCCTTTGTTGTATTAGTTGTGGTGAACATGGTGCAGATGGTTGATCATTTCCAAAAATGCTGTTCCGTTGGAGGGGCCAGGAATTCTAGTCATTCCTGGGCTTACATGGTCCGGGAGGCCATCCAGAAGGTCAAGGTGGTGTGTCTGCGCTCTAACTGCAAAGTGGGGACCATATCACACACAGTGGCTAGATGGAAGGTTCTTATGCATCCATTCCAGCATGGCCCTCCCCTTGTTGTGTAGCATAAGGACTTTATTGTGAATGGGCTTCTTCCTATTGAAACCTGGTGGAGAAAATTGCTCCATGTGGGCAGGTCCTACTGGAAAGTCATCCACGGGTTGTCTAGGTGGGTCATCTCCATGGATTAGAGAGAGCTGCCTTTGGCCTAGGTTGATGCTCTTGGTGGGGAAGGTCCATTGCAATTTGGCTTACTGGATTCTTGCATCCTTCTTTGCCTAACAGAAGACCTGGTTGGAAGGAAAGATCTGAGCTGTAGGTGTCCAGCTGGGCATCTGGAGCTTTGCTAAGATGAGGGGCAGTGCTCCATTCTGCCCTAGCAGCCGGCAGGGAAGAAGCGACAGAACAGTGGCTTTGGTTATGTTCTGGCAGCTGGCACGTATTTATGGGCACAGCTACCTACAGCTGGAAGGTTCATTAAAACCTCAGCTGAAGATCAGGTTGGCAGGCAGCCTTGAGGAGAAATTGATCTTGTCGCAGGTTTGTGAAATGAATCAATTGTGTTCAGTTTTCCATTATAAGACCTGTGTCTTCTCTGTGGGTGGGTGGAAGTAAGTAATAATACCTTTTGAAGCAAACCTTCCATAAAAGTGGGTCTTGCTATCTACTTATCCACTGAAGGGATGAGGCGGTTTCCTACATGGACTAGCCTGGGAAAAGGGGGACCCCTGCCCCTCACTTTTCCTAGACCTTAGGAGTGGTGATAAGGGCACTCATTCTCTGGACCTGCTATCATCTCAGAAGTCAATGAACTCTGGCAGTTTGCAGTTTCTCAAGATGCCTGCATGATGCCTTTCCTGTTGCTCGTTCTTCCCAACCTAGTGAAGGCGCAAAGGACAAACTGCTTTTGCCCCCGTCCCCCTAGCTGGGAGGTACATTTGGAGCGCTGGGGAAGGCAACAAGGGTAGCTCAAAATGTCTCGCTTTCTGCATGGGATGAGCTTTAAAGAAGCCTGGCTCTCCTTACTCCTTAGAGAGAAGCTCCTTCCTTCTGAGCAGAGGTGGGAGTTAATTTTGCCCCCCACCTGCACGCATCCAGAATGAAGGTATGAGACACAGGTGGGATGACCAACATTCACCTTGGGTATGTGATGGAATCTATGATGAACCATCCCGTTGACAACATGGGCAGAGAAACCCTCGCGCTTGCTGGCTGCCGTGCGTAGCATCACAGTAGACCTGCACTTGTCCAGGTCTGCTGACCAGAAGTTGTGCTGCAGTCCCTGTCACCAAACTTGTATATTTTCCAGGTAGGGCATGCCAGAGCACAAGGGTGGCTCACCTTCTGGTACCCCAGCACTGAGCCACGGTTCCACTTCAGCGATACATGTGATAGGGGTCAGGACTAGACCTGTGTGCACATAAACGCACCTGCACCAGTGATCCTAGTCCTAGTGCAAGACATACTTCCCCCTTCCACCACTGTGTACAGCAGCAGGGAAAGGATGAGCTGCATGGGAGAATATGGGGCGTGGAGCAGAGAGGGCAAGCAGTCTGTTGAAGGGGGGATTGAGAAGAAGTGGAAAGGGTAAGGCAGCCTTGGCTGCAGTTTCCCCCAAGTTTTGGGTTGCTGTACAAGATCCAGAGAAGGCTGATTGCGTTATACCTTGAAGGGATTCTCTAGTTAATTGGAATGCCCACCCTTTAAGCCTAGTGCGGAATGGCTGTTCTCGGCCAGAATTTTCTGCTCTGGGAAATGCCTCTTGCATTGTGCCGTCAGAACTTTGCCTCCCACCCAACGAATGTTATCTGGTGGCTCCACTCTGAAAAACCAGCTTCTGCCTCCCAGATCCTCAATCAGTGTGTTTTCACAAGGAGTTATTGAAAAATCTTTTGACACCCTTGACTTTCAGTTACTTTTTAATGACTATTTTCTGCCTTGCGTCTTGTATTTTAAGTGGTTTTAAGGAAAAGACACCCCCCATAAATGGGGCACATGCTCAGAAATGCATATATAGATTAATATAGGGCCATTTTAAAATAATAAAATATAGAGGCATTTGATAAGGCCCTGTTCTGGGAGACCTCGCTAGAGATCGAAGTACCTTCCACACTCATTATACATTGTGTGTTCTGGGGGGGGAAAAATGACACATCTTCATCATTTGAATGGGTCAAGCATATTCAGATGAAGACAAATGGTGCTTATTTGATTTCTTTAAAATCTGGAAATGAAAAAAGGGCTCCCTGGAGAAATCACGGTCTATCCAACTTTGATGATAGACCGAGGCATGGACCACAGATAAGAACAGGCATTTGTCTTCTCTTTTCTTCCTTTTGCTAAATCTCCGAAGGATAGCCAAGATTGTCAGCTCACTGACATGTGCATTATCCATGTCATTTTAAACAAAGTGACCTGGAGAAAAGAGCGCTCGGGCGTGACACGATACTGTTCTGTTGGATGACAGGGAAAGCACACGCTAGAAAGAGAGGCAGTGTGTTATTCCTTTGTTTAACTGACAAGTGGGAAATTCCTTTCATTCTGGCAGGCAGCAATCTCTCAGATCTTTCTTTGGGAGGGCAATCAGAATGGGGTGTATCTTTTAACATTAAAAGTAAGCAGGGTGAGGAAAGCCTGGAACACATGATTGGAGACCTTCGTAGCTTTAGATATGGTCTTCCCTGCAGATATTTGCATCTTCAGACCCATCAGCCCCAGAAGGCATGGTCAGTGCTTGGGGATAATAGGAGTGAATAACCACTTATGGAGACCACCAGTCATGGAAAGGCTGCTTTAGTCTAGGGGTGGTCAATCTACCAAACTTAAGCATATCAAAGTTCTGCAAATCTTGAAGCTTGACCGGGATGGTCTATCAGATTGTGAGCTTTTTCATTCTTGTATATGAAGATCTGTGGGTAATTTTTGTAAATGTGTGTATCTTAGAAGTGACTCATTTTCCCATATTTTTCAAAAGGACTCAATTTCCTGGTACATTTTTCAAAAACACGTATGCTGTCGAACACCCTTAAAAATGGCTTGCAAATTATACTGCAAGTAAGTAATGCACAGACTTTGAACTGCCAAGCGCATCCATGTTCCATGCTGAATGTATGAGCTGCTTAAATCCTGATCAATAATGAACTGCAATGAATTTATCATACATCCTTAATCTAGTCCAACCCCCATCCCGAGGCAGAAAATCCATAGCCTGAGTAACCTCAGCAGGGCTCTGTCCACTGTACTTGTATATATGAGGTCTGAAAGAAACAAAGGTTCTACCTGTGCTAATCAGCATTCGCCAAAGTGGGGTGGGGAACTTGTGAACCCCAGATATTGCTGGGCTATGTCTTTTATCAGCCATGTGGCTGGGGCTGATGGGAGTTGGAGGGACACAGGTTCAGTTCTCTAAATGAGACCTTGGAGAGCTGGTTCCAGCCAGAGTACTCTGCATAGGGCTAGGAGAGGTTAATTGCTTGAGGATCTCTGGCTGGTCAAAGGTAATACAAAGGTAAAACACAGAAACAGGGCGAGTCAGAAGGGGCCTCCTGGGCCATCTAGTCTGACCC